AAATACCTATTGATGACTGTAGTATGCATTTTTGCCTAAGTTATTTCATTTAATTCTCACAATAACACTATAAGATGAATACAGTCAGTATTTCTTTTTTAAAATAAGCAAACCAAGTCTCAAAAAGGTTAGGCAACTTACCACAGGTTACATGGCTAGAAAAAAGCAGAGCTTGAATTTGAACTCAGATTTAACTTCTATTATTTTTCTCTTAATCACTATTCTCCACTGCTTTCACAGTGAATTAATGAGTGAATAGATGGGAGGAAGGATTGGGGTGTCTCCTTCAGTCTCTCTGGGGCCTTAAGATCTCCTGGGTTCTCTATTTCCCTGGAGAGATTTGAGCCAAAGGCTACCTGGGCATCTCAGGAAGTCCTATATTCTCCATGCCAACATGGTCAGGCCTGTTTTACATTCTGTCCTTGAGAACAATACTAAGATAAGAATTCATAACCTAGCACGGTACACAGGGAGTGCTATCCTGGGACAGCCTTACTATTTCAGGCAATTGGAGAAGTTTGAACTAAGACTTTTCTCTCTTTTCAAGGAGTGACAGCTCTGATTGCTCAGGGATCATAAGGTTATCCCCCAACCCCAGCTACGGATTTGGATTTGAACTTAGATAAAACTTTGAATATTTTCTGGAAGTGATAGGCTTGAGAAACAGATTTTGTTTCTGGATTATGCCAAGAGATACAATGACCGGAGACCCACAGATCTTTCTGGACTTGGCTTCTACCTTTGCCTCTGGGTAGCTGGAATACTGGGACCCTGAAACAGGCTGGTGTACAGCAGAGCTTTCCTTAGCTCATAGTTTCCAAAACCTTTCTGAAGTGTGGCTTTCCTCTTCCATCGGATTGAAGTTCCTTAACTGTAGGACGGATGTCTCAGATTTCATGGGGTTTCCAGTACAGGCATCACAAAGTGCTGAATTATTACTAAGTAATTACTTAAGAGGTTATCTTAAGTTTTCTAAAATGTTCCACAGGAATCATTTCACTTCGGAAACTGAAGCATGGCAGGGCTCATCACTCTGTTTTTACAGCAAAGCAGAGACTCGGAGAGGTGAAGTCTTGCATGCAACTTCACATTGCTGGTAACTGTTGATGTATGTGCTGCACCACCAGGGGGATTCTTTAGTACGTTGTTTCTATGGGTTAGTGGAGCTTACCTATTTTGGCCAACAGAGGGAAGCACTGAAACATAGAAACTTCTAGCCGAGACCTGGTTTACGTTCATCCTTTCTGGATGTGATCAGAATGTCGGCAGTTTTATGCAAATAATGACAATTATTTATTGGACACATCGTCCCTGAGTCATTATTGCATTTTTTTGGTCTTTTTGACCAAAGTTCACAGCTGGCCTGGATTAGCTATGAAGACCAGGCTGGCCTCGAACTCCGGACATCCTCCTGCCCCTGCCTCCCTAGTACTGGGATTAAAGGTGTGGTCCACCACGCCTGGCTAGTGCATGTATTTAAAACTCTAAACAACTCTGCCTGTTAAGGATGACTGTTTTCGTTTTCTAGAAGGAAAGGATCTCAGAGATGGTCAGTTGCTCAAAGTCAGGGAGTTGATATATAACTTGCCTGGGATTTGAACTAGGTTTTCTGGTTCCCAAGAATTATTACTTTCTTCATTGTAGGCCCAGGACAAATGTTGGTTGAGTGAATTTGTGGCTGTGAAGTAGGCATGAAGTCTGAGCCCTGAAGACTTCACTTCTTCAGATCAAACATTGTGTTTCTTTCATATCCTCAAAGCTAAGAAAATTATTTTTCACAACCTGATGAGTTTTATCAGAGTTGCTTATAGGAGCAAGGCTATAAACTCCAGGCCTGGAACTCACTGTGCAGACCAGACTGGCCTCAAACTCACAGAGATCCACCTGCTTTTGCCTACTGAGTGTTGGGATTAAAGGCATGTGCTACCACACCTGACCCCCAATCAATTATTAATTGCATAGAAGTCCTCAGGGGGAGATGGGGTTCTTTGAGGTCTCTCCCTTTCGTTCAGGGAAGCACAGCTGCTAGGTCAAGTGCAACAGTGATGTCACGTCCTGAACTCAGTGTTCCACACTGCTTCCTCACTTCCTTCGGCTCTTACATTTTGTTTTTTCACTCTAATGCCATGTTCCCAGAGTTTTGGAAGGTCTCATTTATGGCTGAATATTCATTAGTACTTTGACCGGCAATGAGTTTTTGCACTCACTACCGATGACTGCAAACAAAGGTTCTCTGAGAAAAGCTGACAGCAGCACTATTCTAAGGACAACACCACAATCATTTGATGGGTACATCCTGTCCATTTAGCAAAACAACAGCAATAGTTTCTCCACTAGGGTCCAAGACCTTCTTAGCCATGGGCTTTTGACTGGATTTACAGTGTCATAGTTCAAGAGTTTTGACCCCTGGGAAACCATTGCCCAACCCTGGGCAGAGCTCCAGTGAATTTCCAAATCAGATTAGAGAACATTCCCATCTGCAAGTTGCTGTGCCTTCACTTGTAGTGCTGCACTCTGGGACATTAAATATCGATTATGGAAAGTTGTGTGTACACCATTGGAAGCTGAAACCTATAGAGTTCTAGTTGCCCTGAGATACTTACTTAAAGTGCCGGGGTGGAAATTCCCTGTCTATGTGGTGTCAGACAGGCAAATGGCATACCTGGGTTTGCCAAAGTCCTCCAGCTTTTAGATCACTGCCCTTTGCTATGCAGAGCATCACCTGGGATCTGTTTCTGTGCATGGTGGGGAAAACCAGTACCATCTTCGAGATCTCTGTCTTTAGGGCTTGTGCTTCTGGTGGCCTCTGGGTCTTGTGATAATCTAAAATGTGACTACAAATTCTTTGACACTCAAGAGTTGAGTTAAACTCACCCTTCTTTTTTGGATATGAGATGTTCTTAGTGATTTACTTCTAATAAACATAAAGTGGTGCAGCTAATGCCGCTTAATTATGAGACTAGGCTGTCATGAAAAGACAGTAGGGCTTTGGCTAGGCATTCATTCGTTGGATTCTTGTTTTTGGAGTCTCGCTGCCATTTAATGAAGGTCAGCCTACACAGAGAAGCCAGATAGAGGTGTTATGGCCAACATCTGCAGTGGAGGTCTCAGGGGACACGTGCAGCGTGTGAGTGAGCAAGACTTTTAGAGGATTCCAGCCACAGCTGCCATCTAACTTCCATCTTCTTATGGCCTGGGGGATCATTTCTTCATCAGTCTGGCAAAGGATCACTAATGCTAGATGAGTGTGTATAGTAGGCACTATGGAGGTTTGGTGCCACAGAGGGAGGTTACGACAATGACAAGAACAAATGAGAACTTCAACTCACATGGATGAAAATTCATAGGCACACCACACTAAGGGAGGATTTCTTACAGGCCTTGTCTACCCTCAGGTGCTTCAGCTAGCATCCTAAGCTTCTTGTCCTATCGTCCTCTTGCTTTTTAGTTGTATTTACTTTGGTTTTTATATGTAGAACCATCCAATGGTTAGATTCTTAACCATAAACTTTGGGTACTATAGTACAGACTAAGTGACCTTTTTATTTGAGACAGGGTCTCAAGTAGTCCGGGATGGGCTCCAATTCATTATGTAGCAGAGAATAGCCTTGAATTTCTGCTACTTCTGCCTCCACCTCTTGACTGCTGGGGTTATAGGTGTGTACCATCACACACATGCTGAACAAGCACTCTACCAGTTTACAGTCCTAGCCCCCAGACTAGGTGATCTTAAATAACAGAAATTTATTTTTCATAGTTTTAGATGTTGGAAAGCCTAAAATCAAGGCATTAGCAAGTTCAGTGTCTGGTAGGTACCTGCTTCCTGGTTCATGAAAGGCCCCTTTTTTTGTGGTGTCCTTATACAGTGGAAGAGGTAAGGGGGCTCGCTGAGGTTCCTTTTATAAGGGCACTAGGCACTACTCCTTTTCATGATGGCTTTTGTGTCATGACCTAATTATCTTCCCCCACCAAAGCCACGCACCTGAATATCATCACTTTAATGATTAAGTTTCAATTTATGAATTTGGAAAACACAAACATTAAGCTGTACTTCCAGGCCTAGGTGAAGTTCCAAGCGCCACAACACTGGTGAAGCTGGGCTTCAGATATCTGTCCCTACTGGCAGTGGTCAAGTTGTACATGGCTCTATCACATCCTTAGTTGTCAGTTCATGGAGGTGGTTGCTGATTTATCTCTGAATTCTAAGCACAAGGCCTCTTCAGTTTTGACTGTCTTCCAGCTATCCCTGAACTCCATGTGGGATCACAAAGTACATATTCACTCCTCTACTGTGAGAGTGCTAAGACCCAGGAGCCTCTAGGTGCCATAACAGCCCCATGCCACCTTCCTAGAGCCAGGAAGGATACATGTGTGATATTCATCTTTTTTTTTTTGCTTTGACAAAATACCCGAGGAAACAAATTAAAAGGAGGAGAGGCTCATTTTGATTCATAGTTTCGGAGGCCTTAGTTTATATCAGTGGGCTCCAATGCTTTTAGGCTTGTGGCAATGCAAAAACATCATTGTAGAAAGGCACGTCAGAGGAAAGCAGTTTACTCATGGCAGCCAGGAAACAGACAGAGAAAGTGAAGGGGACACCTTCAAAGGTGTGCCTCTGGTGGTTTACTTCCTTATCTATGATCTACCTCCTAAATAGCCTACTTAGCTATACACCTAATTCACTGCATATGCCATAACAAACCACTGTGGCACATATCCTTTTTTCCTCTCTGAGTTCCCTGCAAAGGAAGAACCTTTCTCTTGGACTTACTAATTTTCACCTCTTCTTCATCCTTTCATCTTTTGTTCCTCTGTTTCTCTGGTCTTAACTGTGGGAAAGTGGCTCCAATGTATCATGTATTTCTCCAAATCAGATTCTGATATTTGAGTATATGCTCCAAATCCTTAGGCTTAGGCTTTTGTAGCCTCAAATCAAGAACTTAACTTTGATTGCAAAGACATGTAGGGTTAGCTGTTAGGGAGGAGGTGAGGGGTAGGAAGAGGAAAATAAACATCATGGTTTATTGTCTGCTCAGTTTACATCTAATCTGTGGCCAAGGTAATTTTATCAGAAGTTTACCTCTTACTGTCTTTCTCTAGCTGAAAAAATGTTCTCGTCCTAAGAACAAATCCATTGTCTTCCTAGGCCAATTGGACAAGATTGTAGATTATAATAACATTCTTCACCTTCCTAGAGCCAGAAAGGACACGTGTGATACACATTCATCCTTCTGTTGCTTTGACAAAATACCTGAGGAAACAAATTAAAATTCTGTTATTACTTAGAAAACTGTGTAATCAGAACTCTGATGGAGGGCAGCCCTTGGGGATGTTGGAATATGGACTAGGGAGGAATTGTTTGTAAGGGTGTACTGCAGAAGGCTTGCTGGAGGGACTGCTATCTTCCTGGAGGGAGAGCATTTCAGGTACAGGCTATCCCTGGCCTGGTGAGCTGCAGATGAGAAGGAGCAGGTGGGGAGGGCACTGAGTGGACCCTCAAGCATAAGCTTGTGCCAGGCCTGAGAAGCAAAGCATTTGGCTCTCATCCCAAGGGGATGAGGTATGAGCCCAGCAGAAACTTCTAGGCTGGATAGTGCTGTAATTTAAGTAGTTTGCCCTGTTCCCTCTCCTGGTATTTTATTTGTCCATTCCACTCCCCTCACTTCAAGTGCCAGTTCTCTTCCTTATAATGGAAAGGATTTCTGGCACTGCTCAGCCTTATACCTTGTCCCTCCTTCCCTGTATTGCTCTGCACTCTACAGCCATCTTAAACTTGCAGGCTTCTGAATATTCTCTTCTCTCTGAGCTTTTGTTCTTGCTGTTCTCATGTTCCCTGCCCTCAGCCCCCTCATTACCTCTTATTGTCTTGTAGGTTTTGGTTCAGCAGTTACCTCCCCAGATCGTGTCCATAGGCTGAACCAAAACTTTTTCTTGTGTTCCACAAGTCCTTTGTGTCCTCCCCAGTGTTCCCAGGCTGCTTTTGAACTATAGTCTATTCCCTAGTCCAGACCTGCCTGGGCTTGTGACCAAGTTGCTCTTTGGCCTGCTTCCTGTGAGCATGTGGGTGGAGTTGGCAGTGTTCCCTGTCCTGAAGTGGATTTAAGGCTTGATTAAGGCTCAGGACATGCAGAATGTAAATAGGATTAGTGGGCAAGTAATTAGGCAGTTACAAGTGAAGGGGTGGCCTCTGGCTGGGACCTAAGCCTTACTCTAGATTCTAAAGGCTTAGTTTTTGTCTTAGAGTCAGATGACCTGGGTCCTAACCCAGCACTAATATTGATTTGCTGTGTGGTCTTGCTAAGCTCCCTCCCTTTTTTTGAGCCTTGATCTTTTTGTTTTAATTCATGAAAGACAGTATAATGATCCTGGGCTGGGGATGTAGCTTAGGTTGGTAGAGCACTTGCCTAGCACGCATGAAGCCCTAGCACCATATAAACTGGATGTGGTGATACATGTTTGTAATCTCAGTACTAGGGAGGTGGAGACAAAGAGGATCAGAAGTTTAAAGCTTGGAAGGGATGGCTTAGTCAGTAAAGCACTTGCCTTGTAAGTGCAAGGACCTGAGTTTGATCCCTAAACTCATGTAAAAGTTCTGGGCCTGGTGGCACATGCTTGTAATCCCAGTGCACGGGGAGGGAGATGCAAGAGGATCCCTGGGGCTCATTTTCCTGCCGGACCACCCTGAGTGGTTAGCTTCAGGCCTACAGGAGACTTTGATCACACCCAAGGTTGTCTTCTGGCTTCCATATGCACCCCCCACATGTGTACTCCTCCCCCACATGAACACACATACACACACATACACACACACACACACACATGCACACACACACACACACACACACACACACATTAAAAAATAGGACAAAAAAGTTCAAGCCAAGTTACCCTTGGCTCCATAGCAAATTTAAGCTACATACAACTGTCTCAAAAAAATATTATAAGGACCCTAAGTGTATCCTTATCTATAAGTTGGCAAGGTTGAGCTAGGGTGATGTATCTGTGAGATTTGTGCAAATATTCACCATGGGTGCTGTGCTGGATCTGCTGCTGGTGCTATGTACATGAAGCTGACTCTGTCCCTGTGAGAACAGATTGCAGTCTATAGGGGTTAACTCACTCATTTACAGATGGTTGGTGCACACTGAGATGGTTCTAACACAGTGTCAGAGGGGCAAGGATGCTCGTACTCACGTGGGGAAGTACTAGCTGAGTCAACTTGGGCTACTGTCTGTATCTCCCTGAGCTTCAGTTCCCCTTTGGCAAAATGAGGGTGATAATTCTCGACTATTTCCATAGGTATGTTATGAAGGTTAAAGGAAAATAACATAGCTAAAGAATTTAGTGCCCCAGAGATTACGGCATGGATTGCAGTTATAAAGAGAGAGTCACAGGTACTGTCAGTGGGGGAGGTGATTCTGTTTGTGGAAGTGGTGGACTGAGAAGGCTTCCCAGGCTGGGCCTTGGAAGATGCAGAGAATCTCCTGAAGGGGAGCAATACAGGAACTATAGGTAGGGCTTTAGGGCCTCCATGAGTCTTAGGGCTTACTATATAGACCTCTGCCATCTTGCTCCAGGTGCCTTCTGCCCACTCAGTATTGCTGTTTGAGCTCCTTTCTGTTCCATGTCTGCTGTGATTATTCCTAGGCTGTCCATTGCTTCCCACTCATCTCTCCCATCAGGATAGCCTCCCCACTGCCCAAGGCCATTATCTTTTACAGAGAAGATTCCAGGGCCTTCCTTGGTCCCCTTAGAACCTACCTTCTCCGTACTGAGCTCTCACACCTCTGCTTCACCTGGACTCAACCAGTTCTGTACTGTAGCGCTCATGTCCACATGTATGTTTGAAGGTTGGATCCATTTCATTTCACTTCCCCCTGCCCTGCATTCATTTTCTCCCCCATATATATACATGGTATGCATAAATATGTATATGGCATGCATAAATATACATGTGTGTGCATGAAAATAGAGGCATGAAGTTGATGTCAAGTGTGTTCCTTGGCTGCTCTCTATTTAATGAGGCATGATCTCTTAATAACATGGAGCTCACCATCTCTGGCTAGTCTAGCCAGTCAGCTTGCCTACACAGATCCACTGTCTCTGCTCCTGAGTGCTAGGATTACAGGTAGCTCCCACACCTGCCTGGTTTTAAAAATAAATATTTTATTAATTTTTAAGAATTCCATGTATGTATACAATGTATTTTGATTATAGTCATCCCTACTCCTTCCCATAATTCCTCCCAGATCCACTCTCCACACCACCCTTCCCAACTTCATGTCTTTTTTTTTTTGAAAAAATAACTTACTGAGTCCAATTTGTGCTGTACATGTGGGGTCACCACTGGAGCATGGTCCTACCCGGCTTTTACGTGGGTTCTGGGAATTCAAATTCTGGTCCTCTTATGCATCAAGAGCTTTATTCACTGAGCCATTTTCCCAGCCCTCCTCTGGATTTTAAATGCTCAGGTTTCCTCATTTAGTGTTCCTCAGATTCTCTCTTACGTAACAATACCCAGAAATTTGTTGTGGGCCCTCTCGGTGCACATTCCTCACCTCCTACTCATTCCTCCACCCACTATGTTTTAACTTCTAACCAAGATCTTTCTTCTAAAATGGTTTTGGCCCAGGCCACCAATGCAATCCATTTAACTTTTTTGCATAAGCCTGTTTCTAAATATTCTCAGGCTTGATCCATCTCTGCTCTGAATTGTCCACCTTGTTCCTTTCAGAATTTTATTTACTTATTTAAAAAAAGAACTCACCAGATCTGAGTCACATAACTGTTCCCAGGACAGGGCTGCAGGCCAAGCAAAGAGACAAAGTATTGCTTAATTGCCCAGCAGCCAAAGGGCAATGGCAGGACCCACAGGAAGACTGGACATATAGCAGTTAGCTGCCTGGTAGGTTTTGCTTGGGCTGAGCAACATGTGATGTATTGGATGTGATTTCCCCAAATTTAATTGCTCATTTAATTAGCTCATCAGGAAATGGACAAAATATGTCCCCGGACTGGTGAGGAACTCCACAAAAGAATATCTTGTGTTGCAAAATAATGGCTGAAAATTAGATTAATTTTCAGGAAGAAACCACAGTTGTGATTATCAGGGCCCTCTTTAGCCCCTCAGAAGAAATTGACCCGAGACACTAAGTCAGAGTGACTGAGAGAGCACGGAGTAAAAGTGACTTCTCAGAGTAAAGGGAATGTCACCGGAGAATAACCTTTTCCTGCCTCTTCTTCCATCCCTCCTCTCCTAGCTTTCAGTGTACACCATTCCTTTTCTGGTTGGATCTAATCTTGGTGCAACCAAAATTCTCCATTTTCTATCTTCTTTTCAGCCTGTGATCTTACCTAGATCTCTTCCAAGTCGCTAAGACCCCCTGGCTTGCCACCACATTCTTTCCAGATACCACCCACATCTCTACTTTCTGTTTCTTATTTACAGGTCTTGAAAGAGTTGTCTATACTCTGATTTTTCTTTTGTACCAGCATCCTCCATTTACCTCCATTACTCTACTGACATGATGCTTTCCAAGATCACCAATGGCTTCTTAAATCCTGAACTCTAGGGATACTTTTCATGCTTTTAGGTTTCTTGTTGGCGCTCTACTTAGTTTTCTTTTCCATCCTCTCTTTCATTCAGCTAGTATTTGTTAGGTGCCGAGATATAGCAATTGGAGAAGACAGTTGTGGTTCTCTCATGGCTCTTAAATTCTAATCAGTGAGACAGATAGTAAACAAACAAGAATATGCTAATTTATGCAGAACATACAAGACCTCTTGCAAGTCTGCAAAAGAACTAACTCCAATTATGTTCACGAATTCATAGAAAGTTTCAGGGAGGAAGAGCTGTTTTAACTGAACGGACGACTAGGACTTAGCAAAAACATGGGAACGAGGATCCCTGGCTGAGGAAAGAACATGTGGGAAAAGTCTGAAGACAAGAAGGAGCAGATGACCTGGGAGACCTGCTTTAAGGTTGGTGGCAGCAGCCTGGGTGGGTGGGGTGAGAAGACGAAGTAGAAACAATGAGAAGTTCTATGAGGCAGCCCCCACTTGCTTTCAGTGCTACAGAAGCATTTTCGGTAGAGGAGTGATATGATAAATCTGCTTTCTGGAAATACTCTTAGATTCAGGATGGACAATATTTCTGAAGGAGACAAGAGTAGATTTAGGAGGCCCAGTTAGGAAGACCACTTCAGTAGTTCATGTAAATATGATGTGGGTGCACTTAGGAAGAAGTGAGTGGTTTTGAGGCTCTATGGGAAGCCCAGTACACGGAATGCACTGACATTAGATTTGGAGGAAATCCAAATTCTACTCTGAGGCAAGGGATGGAGGATGGAGGATGGGGCCATTTCCTGAGATGTGATTTTATATATATATATATAAATGTGGGTATGAGACTGTTGGGGAAAAGTATGTTGACATATAGAGTTTGTGATGCTTATGATACCAACTCTGAGTGTACACATGGAGCTCAGACGAGTAGCTTGGGCATGAGCTATAAACTTGGCAATTATTAGAATACTGGTGTGAGTGAGGAATTGCCTTCAGAGAGAAGGCAAAGAGAAAGGGCAGGGGCAGGGTCTGAGACAGAACCCTAAAGCCATCAGTATTTAATGACCGAGAAGGGAGTATGGTGGTCAGCCCCCAATCATCACTGTCTCCTGGAAATCAACACACTTGTATAGCTCTACCACATAATACGTCCATGGGTGTGACCAATAGAAGTGGCTTATCCCCATCAAGACACTGTAGCTTTCTTTTGCTGGCTCTTCCTTGTGCTTTCTGTTTCTCTTAAATCATCTTCAGTCAGCCACTATGCTATCAACCACCCTGTGGGGTTGGGGGGGTACCAGGTGGTAGGAAACTTCATTCCACAGAGCATGGAAGTAGATCCAGCCCTTTCCGATGATGGCAACCTTAGCCAACAACTTGTCTAGAGCCTTGTT